ACTTTATTGTGCGACATCACTGCACATAAAGGCCATCTTAATACTAAAAATACAACAACTTTACGAATAAAACGTATCCTACCCTCTTGCCTTCTTTCCATCTCCTCCAATATCCACAACCTCACCTGAATCCCCTCTTAAGGTTCATCACGTAAAACTGACTCTATGCGGCACAAGATTAAGATAATGAGGACCGCAGGTAAGCCGGGAAAGCATTATGCTTAATTTATTGAACACCTGGTTCAACCTGCCTTCAGCTAGTCCAATCGGATTTTGGTCTTCCAGTATAGGTTACTGGAAAATTATTTCAGAGCGCCGCGAGTGGAGTGTGATCGAAAGATCGTTCCTCGTGGCGCTTAAGAGAGGAGAGCAGGTGTTCGAAGTTTATCTAGATTTTCATTTCAGATTTAATAGAATATTATGCAATAATCGCTAACAAACTATGTAAGATTTAAAAACGACCACATTGGGAGCTGAATGATAGTTCTAGGCATTTCATGTTGCAATCATAACATCTTCAGGCTCCAGTTAAAGCCGTTCCCCTGAATGAATCTACCTGGACCTCCAACTCATTTCTGCAACATTGCAAGCGCCTGAAGATGTTGATTACAACTCGAAAGGCCTAGAGCAATCATTCAACTCCCCCTGGATTTTTATAGCTTTATTCAGCTTCTTTATGCCAAGAACTTATAAAACGGACAGGGTGAAATTTCTTCCTGTGTACATCACCGCCTGTGTCTAGACTCTCCTCATAATACTTCTTCATTTCTGAGTTGTAAGTGGTAACAAATAAAGACGCGATCGTAAGTAATCAGTGCATATATAGGGCCACAAAACTCCAGACCGACGAGTTAGCCACTGGACCAGCTGGCTTCAACAAGATTCATCCAACTAGGTATATTTCTACACCATAGAAACGTTAGCATAGGCACCACCAGCTAGCTGGCCCAGTGGCTAACGCGTTTGTCTGGAGTTTTGTGACTCATTGCGGGCTCTAACCCCACCCGTGGTGTGGTTCATATATAGGGCATTACGGAAGCATTTCATCCACAACAAAATTAATGATGCCTATCTGGCAAAGTATTTGTATAAATGCCCTAATTCACTATTTCCTAACAATAAAAGCCATTTTACAGTTCCGATTTAAGGTTTATTAAAGTCACTCGACGTTGTTATGAAATTTTAACGTTAACTTGGTGTTCAAATGTTTAAAATGGTTAATAACCAAAATAAATAAACGTAGAGGAAAGTAACTGCGGTCAGATAAACACTCGCGTTACACTGTCGCAGCCTAATTAGTTGTCAACGAAAGGCTCGTTATGCAAAATGAGGCCTGACTGTGGTAGTACAGAGTCACACTTAGTAGGATCCAAAGACCAAATCCTTCAAGGAAAAATACACATTAGAGAACAAACTTTTATTGGCACAACTTTTCACTCTATTAGAGTTTTGTAATACATGACTTGATAAAGCTCTGTACAGAAACTGTTCCATGGAAATTTTGCGGTGTAACATGTGTTAGTGCTGTAACATGTATCAATGCTGTAACATGTATCAGCGTTGTAACATGTCTTCTCTTCAATATTGTCACCGGTACACTATTCTGATCCATGGAATCCTCGCGCTCACTGGTGGTATACACATCGTTGTCACCACCTTCATAAACTCGACGCCCAACAAGAAGTGTATTCTTTCTTAAAGATGATCAAAGATGAATAAAACACATGAGCCACACCTGGATATCTTTATCCTGCAGTCATGTTGCCAACCAGTCAAAGACAGAGATTTATTGCCTCATGAAACAATACTGACGTTTTGTTTTTAGTTCCTTTCATAGCGATGTTTTGCATATTTTGATATCACCTGTCTACTGTGATTTTATTGCATGATACAATGTCTGCATAGAGATGGATGATATTTAGATGGGCATGCAGAAAGCTCATGGTTATGTGGAGGATATCGGGCAAGCAGAACCATCAGTCACTTTTCGTTTCATTTCAGAGGTTACGCAGCAATCGCGAAGCTATACAAGATACAAAAGAACCAAGGAAGAGTTGAATGATCGCTCTAGGCCCTTCGTGTTGCAGGCTCCTGAAGATGATTGTAATACTCTTAACCCCTGTGGGTGTTCCGCACAACGGTTATATGCAGTGAAAGATTAAGGCCTGAAAGATTCTCTGCTATCAGTCTTTATTTCTAGTGGAAGACGAGGTACTCAGTCCCTCAGCCTAGAAGTAGGTGTAACGATGACCAGGGATATTGTAATCAAGTGAGTAGCAGCAGCAAGAACCCAAACAACCAAACTTATTATTATATCCGTTGGGGTAAGCGTTAGAACCGTAAGGGTTATACAGCGCCTGGGGAATGATAGGTTATCAGATCCGATAGAGGAGAGGGGTAGCTTCAATTCCATGGATCAAAACCTCTTAACCAGTATCAAGGCTCTTCCCTCCTCCCCTCCCCTCCATAAATGGACGACAATATCCCCATTCCCCTACTGAAGCCTCCCAGCTTATGTTGACAGATTTCAACACTGATGTGATGGTATATGGCAGGGAAACAGCTAACTTTTGCTCCCACTGTATAACTGTCATGTAGAATAAGGTTACCAGGGAAACAGCTAACTTTTGCTCCCACTGTATAACTGTCATGTAGAATAAGGTAGCAACACACTGCTCATGTATCCAATCTTGTTAAATATATAACAATGAATAATGGAATACAACACCGACAGGTTAATAAGACTAATGTGCAACAGACACGTATCTTTATTCTGATACGTTTCGCCTACATAACTGGCTTCTTCAGTCGAGTACACAATAGAAAGTAGTAAAGATGTAAAGACGATGTAATTACTCCATTACCTTTCATATAGTTTTGAGGTGGTCAATCCCTGAGTCTGAAGAAGAGTTTTGTTCCATGGTCTGGGCAGTTAAAAGGTGCTGTATAAAAGCCTTTTACTGGTTTGGCGGTTCCCAAAAGTCAACCACCTTTGATGTGAAATGAATTATGGGAATGATTCAGACTGCAGATAATGACCTGACGCCGCCGCCGCCGCTCACATCTACAATGTGCTTTTGGCGTATAACACAGATAATTATTTCATTTACGTCGCTGTTGCTAAAGCCGCCGCTGCTGCTGTCGCTGCCATTCTCGCTGCTGCTGTCGCTGCCACTCTCGCTGCTGCTGTCGCTGCCATTCTCGCTGCTGCTGTCGCTGCCACTCTCGCTGCTGCTGTCGCTGCCACTCTCGCTGCCACTCTCGCTGCTGCTGTCGCTGCCACTCTCGCTGCTGCTGTCGCTGCCACTCTCGCTGCTGCTGTCGCTGCCATTCTCGCTGCTGCTGTCGCTGCCACTCTCGCTGCTGCTGTCGCTGCCACTCTCGCTGCTGCTGTCACTGCCATTCTCGCTGCTGCTGTCGCTGCCACTCAAGCTGCTGCTGTCGCTGCCATTCTCGCTGCTGCTGTCGCTGCCATTCTCGCTGCTGCTGTCGCTGCCACTCTCGCTGCTGCTGTCGCTGCCATTCTCGCTGCTGCTGTCGCTGCCACTCTCGCTGCTGCTGTCGCTGCCATTCTCGCTGCTGCTGTCGCTGCCACTCTCGCTGCTGCTGTCGCTGCCACTCTCGCTGCTGCTGTCGCTGCCATTCTCGCTGCTGCTGTCGCTGCCACTCTCGCTGCTGCTGTCGCTGCCACTCTCGCTGCTGCTGTCGCTGCCATTCTCGCTGCTGCTGTCGCTGCCCCACTCACTACTGCTGTCGCTGCCACTCTCGCTACTGTTGTCGCTGCCACTCTCGCTACTGCTGTCGCTGCCCCACTCACTACTGCTGTCGCTGCCACTCTCGCTGCTGCTGTCGCTGCCACTCTCGCTGCTGCTGACGCTGCCACTCTCGCTGCTGTTGATGCTGCCACTCTCGCTGCTGCTGATGCTGCCACTCTCGCTGCTGCTGACGCTGCCACTCTCGCTGCTGCTGACGCTGCCACTCTCGCTGCTACTGATACTGCCACTCTCGCTGCTGCTGCTGTCGCTGCCACTCTGGCTGCCACTCTCGCTGTTGCTGCCATTCTCGCTGCTGCTGTCACTGCCATTCTCACTGCTAATGACGCTGCCACTCTCGCTGCTGCCACCACTGCCACTCTCGCTGCTGCTGACACTGCCATTCTCACTGCTAATGACGCTGCCACTCTCGCTGCTGCCACCACTGCCACTCTCGCTGCTGCTGACACTGCCACTCTCGCTGCTACTGTCGCTGCCATTCTCACTGCTGATGACGCTGCCACTCTCGCTGCTGCCACCGCTGCCACTCTCGCTGCTGCTGACACTGCCACTCTCGCTGCTGCTGTCGCTTCCACTCTCGCTGCTGCTGTCGCTGCCATTCCCACTACTGCTGTCGCCGCTATTCTCACTGCTGATGACGCTGCCACTCTCGCTGCTGCCACCGCTGCCACTCTCGCTGCTGTTGTCGCAGGAGTCGCTGACGTTGAAGTCGATGTTATCACCTTAGTAATGTGATGTTGCCTCTTTCATGGAACGATATCTGGATGTTTTAGGCCTTGAGTATTTGTCTTCTTCTTTAGTGGTTTCACTATTTAATATGGTGGTATATTGCTCTGGTAACCCAGTTTAGTAGGTTAAAAAACTTGTATAGTTTGTTGTTGCTAGTTTTTTTTTTCTTCTTTTTTTTCTAGTGATTTTTGCCTATTATGTTCTTTTATTGATATTAGATTTTGATAGTCAAAAGTGTTGATTTCGTAGTTTAAAGCTAGCTCGACACTTGTCGATCCAGCGCTTTATTTGATTATAATAATAATCAAAGTTAGCTTCGGTTCTCAAAATTCTCTCCCGTTCCCCAAAAACTGCATGACTTCCACGGGGTGTATGGCTCCCACGGGGTGCATGATTCCCACGGGGTGAATAACCCCTACGTGGGTTACTGGAGAACAACGTTGTGTGGGGGAGGGTGGAGGAGCGAGGGTAGTCGACAGCTCCGAGATAAGCAGTGTGCGCGCGGCTGTGGCTGCAACCGCACTGAGGCGGCGCTGTAGGTGATGTTGGTGGTGCTGATAAATGAACCTGCCTTCTGGCCGGCCCGCAGTTCCAAAGGTGCCGGCAGAGCGCACGGTCGATAGGTACGGCGCTGTCCTCAGCATCCCTAGTGCTTGTGTTGGGGGGGCGTGATCTCCAACTGCTCATTCTGGGTCGCGCGGCTCCCTGACACACGGAGCATTTTACTCTGGAAATAACACATATGGTCGTGGCTACACTGATCTAAACAGCACTTGGGAAGATTAGAGTAACAACTATGTTTACCGAACACACCCGTCAAAGAGGATGGTTTTCGGAGACACTAGTGAGCGGATATTGACGCACATAGCAGTGATTATGCTCAGTTGTACTTTTAATGTTAAGTTAAATGTTGAGCTGAATAATGTTACAGCTTAATAAGGTAACGTAGAGACGTTTGAAAGACAGAATTAATGTGAATGAGACAGTGAGCGGATAAAGTCTTCAGATGTGAAAGTTTCCATGAGAGGGAAAGAGATCGGAGAGAGTACTACACTTGTATGGTAAGTGGTCCTCTAAGTGGAGTGCCCTCATGCTGGTAAAAGGGTTCCTGATCTAAGGAATTGGAGCTAATTTCCCCTTTCGTAATTTCTTAATCATATTATATAGCCTGGTCATGGACCGGGCAGCGGGGCCGTTGCCCCTCGAAATACCCTCCAGGTATCTTACTCTTTCCATTATAGCTTTCAGTATGCTGACCAAGTGACGTGTGCCGCATTATATTCGCTTAGACATCAAAATAAACTTTTGAGGAAGTCTTTTGTTATTATTAATTTAATAAGGATTTTAATCGGTATTGGCTATTTTAAGGTGGCATGATGGTATTTATTTGTGATGAGTGATTATATTCCTTGTTTTTTTTGACTCTCCTCGAGGGAAGACCTATAAGTGGTAGCCAGAATTTTTTTTTCTTTCAATTTTTCACTTCAACTCACCATTTTTTTACTCATAACTCGAGAAGGTCTTATTACTAAGTGGTTATAATTATGACCGCGTCAGGAAACACTTGTCCTGTTTCCTGACAAACTTTACCTAACCTAAATTCGAAAAGGCTTAATCCGATAGGATTCAAATTTCCAGCACTTGTGTACGGTAACCAAGGCAAAAAAATTTGAAACAGTTGGCATGTGCAGGTGTCCTATGACCAAAGCTGTTGAACTCATTCCCAGCATCAAAAAAGTTGCCTCCTAATTCGACGACGGTGGAGAGTGAAATTTAAATGTGTTGATGTAGATCTGATTATTGTGTATAAAACTGTGTGGAATTTTTATTTCCTTTAAATCACGTTAAATAAATTTCTATTTACCTCTCTGAACGGTTTCAACTTTTAGTGGCTGATGCATCTTAAAAATAAAAGGCTATCATTATAACCTTAACTTATAAAGGAGTGGACCGGTAAACCAGCGGAAGCCTTCGGTCAGTTGACCGAAGCCTTCCGCTGGCCTTTCCGGTCAGGAAACACTTGTCCTGTTTCCTGACAAATATTACCTATTTACCCTCCCGATGCATCATAGCACCAGGATAGTGACCAATAAGTTTAGCTTGTGTGGCGGAAAATTTGTTGATACAGTAAAAAATACCATAGACTGCTATAACTGGCAAGTCACACAAGCTTCAAATTCTCACCATTGTTGTGACTTTCTGACAACAAGGTTATTGATTGTATTAAGTCCCAAATTGCCAATTTTTGTTCAATAGTGATACTCATGTTTAATACCAGAAGAATACTTCTGATTGGTTTCAAAATATTAATGGTAATGTATTCTATAAATAAGATGATGCTCCATGAGTATAGTCCGGGTAGATGTAAATTTGAAATTTTACTGAAATTGTTAAAAAAAAAAACTTGGAATAGTTGGAATTAGATCAGTTACTTTCCTGATAGACTTCAAACTTTCAGTGTACTACCTGGAGGGCGTTCCGGGGGTCAACGCCCCCTCAACCCAGTCGGGGGTTTTATTAAAACAAATCCTGGTGCTAAAATTGAGCTGTGTAAATTTTAATTTGCCATTTTCAATAAATAGTTTCCATGTAATAACTATAGAATGCCTCTCCTGATCGGCTCCAAACCCTAAACGCTAGTGTATGATAAACGTATGCATTTTTGTATTGATTTCGGGCTGTGTGGGCGTCAGTTTAGCAGGTTTAAGCAATTTCATCCAACTGAGTTTCCATAAAATCCAAAATTAAAATATTTTTTTCTTATAAGAGTTTAGTGAATTTGAAATAGAATATAAATGAGAAAAGAAAACTGGAAAAAATAGTTTTTTTTTTTTGGGGGGGGGGGTTAAATTTAATGACTATAAACTTTCTTCTCTTTAGGACACTGGTCTCCCAGATAACAAGAGAATGCTTCTTCGGTTTAGCTTCAAAGTTGGCGTGCTTTAATTACACTTGGGGTGTATATGTTCTACTGTAATAATTTTTACTGAAGAAATTGAGGTATTAATTTCAACACGATGACTTGTGAATCCCTCTGGTTTTCTGATATTTACAGTAACTGCATCACAAACTCATGCCGCACTCTGCACTATTCCAGTCGCGCGCAATGAGGTACAAGGGACTGGGGTTATTCAATATGGGGATACCATTGTCGGATCTTCCTGCGATCGACATACATCTTGCTTGATGATTTTATCATCGTTTTCCATTGTGTTTTGTATAATTTTTTCTGACTCTGAGCACTGATCGACCTTAAAGGTTGACAGCTGTGTAAATATTACAATTTTTACTACATATGAGAAATATATGTGAAGTGTCAACACCACCACAAAACTTAAAATTACGTGAGGTTCATTGTGGTCAGGTGTGTGTGTGTGTGTGTGTGTGTGTGTTAATGCGGGTTCACGAAGAGGCGGTTTACACAGGATATTTTATGACACTGTTGATGAGTGAGACGAAACAACTGTCTGGGAATGAAGGGTTCTTTAATGACTACCCATCAAGGATGAGTGACGGAACGTCTATCAAGGATGAAAGACTGAACGCCCATCAAGGATGAGGGATTAAACACCTATTAAGCCTAAGGGACTGAATGCCTGTCAAGGCCTGAGGGTCTGAGCAGCAATAAAGGCAGATGGATTAAACTTCTATCAAGGTTGAGGCATTGAACACCTATTATGGCTGATAAACTGAACCTTCTATCACTACTAAAGGACTTAAGGGCTATTTAAAGCTGAGGGACTGAGCACCTATCAAGGATAAAGGAACTGAGCACCTCTCAAGGTCTATCAAGGCTAAAGGTACTAAACACCTCTCAAGGCTGAGGGACTGAACACCTCAAGGTTAGCGTTCCACTTCTTCCACTGTCTCCAGCATTTATTATCTGCATGGGGTTAAAACGGTCACTTGCTGGCAATACGTCTCAACAATGAAGACACCCAAGTGTTGCACATGTGTCTTATTCATCAAATTGTCGGTATTTTATACCAGGATTGAAATTATCCCACAATTTGGAGAGGATTTACGCGACGTTTCGGTTCATCGGTGGCCATTATCAAGAGAGAGAGAAAAGAAAAACGAAGAAAACATGTGAAGCAAGGAGATAGACAAAATCAGGGCTAAGATTCGTGAATCGTTTTGATTCTGTTGATGTCTGCCTTGCCTAATATAATGTCCAATGTTCTGAACATCAGAACACAGTGATGTGACAAGTTTGACTGTCTTCTCACGTATTCACTGACCTTTATCCTAGCTTTCTCCTCTTCACTTGACTTATTTTCTGGCTTTTTCTTCTCTTTACCCGACTTATCTTCTGGCTTTCTCCTGTCATCTTCACCTGACCTAACTTCTGGCTTTCTCCTGTCATCTTCACCTGACCTAACTTCTGACTTTCTCCAGTCATCTTCATTTGACCTAACTTCTGACTTTCTCCTGTCATCTTCACCTGACCTAACTTCTGACTTTCTCCTGTCATCTTCACCTGACATAACTTTCACTCACAAACAACTTCATATTAATATAACTTGTTCCCTTCAAGGAAATGACTTGAGGCTGACAAAGGAACTTTTGCCCCCAAGGGATTGAGGCCACACCCCACCCTTCCTTCCTTAAAAATCCCTAATTACATCCCTTTACCCTGACACTTTATGGCCCTTATAATTTGGCCCTATAATATTAATACATTAACTTCTCTGAATCTTCATTGGAAGGAAGGGAAAAAGGTAACCTTGAGAGCAGTCACACTTCTTTCATCCTGGACTCTTGGTAATCATGAAGGGATGGATATACATTTACACATTTGAATTTATCACCTATTTATATGTATTTATAGAACTATGTATGCTGAAATATGTCTCGGATAAGTGGAGCAACTGCCAAAGTAAGGTTTTTGAAACTTAATGATCTAGGTACCTTTAAAAAAAACTGGTTTCATCTGTGTTTGTGTGTGTGTGTGTTTGTGTTTGTGTGTGTGATTCAACTTGCCTTTTGGGTCAGTAACCTTGTACATGCTCTCTCATGTTCTTTCGTAGGGTGCCTTGACTGCTCTCTCATGTTCTTTAGCAGGGCAGCTCGGCTGACGCCAAACACATGAAGCTGGTACTAGCTTGAGACATGGCCGTTCACTAGAACTTTGGTAGGTGGGGTTGGTAGCATAGATTTCCAGGGAATAGGCAAGCACACAACGTGGATGTTTACTTTTGACACAGACCTGATCAAGGGATGGGAAGGGAATGGGGGATGGGGAGAACCACACATCACTTCCACCCCCTCTCTCTATCTTCTACAAGATACATCCCCGTGGCTTGTACAGAATATATGCCTCATAAGTAAACGTAGTCTGAAGAATGCTATAAAGCTGCAATAAATGTAGACGAAGAGAGAGATATAATGAGAAATAATTACTTACAATGCAATCCTTTAATAAGGTGAACAACTGCCTGACATGTTTGGGAATGAATGGTGAGAAATTGCTTTGAGCGAAAAACGAAACACAGGTAAAAGATATTTGTATATATTGGCCACATTCACAGATCCTTTATAGCATATCTGCTGAAGAGGGTCTGCGATTAAGGTCGAAATAGACGCCTCTCTTTTGCCTGTGTTTTATTTATATTTTGGGCTT